GTCAAAAAGTTCCTTTGTGCCCTTTCCTAGGCAATCTCTCTCTCTGCCTGGGCCACAGGCAAACAGTGATCAGCTTTCTGTCACTATAGATTATCTTGGCTTTTTCTTTTCTTAAGGTTTCACATCCATGGAATCACACAATATGAACTCTTCTGTGTCTGACTTCTTTCACTCAGCATGTTTTTGAGATTCATCCACATCACTGTGCTTATCAGTATTTCATTCCTTTTTATTGCTGAGAAGTACCCCCATCGTATGAAGGTACCACAATTTGTTTATCCATTCACCTGTTGATGGACACTTAGATTTTCAGTTTTTGACTATTAATGGAAAAAGCTGCTATGAATATTTGAATAAGTCTTTGTTTAGATATGTGTTTCCACTTATTTTAGGCAAAATATCTAGAAGTGGAATTGCTGGGTCATGTGGTAAGTGTCACATTTAATTTTGTAAGAAACTAGCAAACTGTTTTTCAAAGAGTTTATTCCATTTTCCATTCCTATCAGCAACGTGTGAGAATTCCAGGTGCTCCACAGTCTCACCAACATTTTTACTGAGCCTTTCATTTTATGCGTGTGCACTGATACCTCATTGTGGTTTTAATTTGCATTTCTTTAATGACCAGTGATGTTGAACATCTTAAGATGGCCTTCATCCCTAAGAAGCTCATGGCACTCTACAGTTTACACATCAGCTTCACATCCTCTGTCTCACTCATATACTGATTCAGTCCTCTCACTAACTCTCTTCACAACCTCCCTATGGGGTGGGCTACTTAGAACCTGATTATACCCATTTTATAGATAAGGAAACCTAGACTTTAGAATTATCACCATCAGGACACCTTCTCAATAGTTGTGGAACCCTGAAATTCTAGTTTAAGTAACACAGAAAAGCAAAGGCTGATCTGACTTCATCAACCTAGCAGTCTGCTCTAATTCTGCCTGTAAATTTCTTGGGTGAGTGGCAGGTCACAAAGGTAAGTCACACCTGTGCTACACCTGTGCCCTCCCCCCCGAAACCCCCAACACACACAGACACACACACATACATATACACACACATACATACACACCACCCCTGAGAGACTTCTAGGCTATATTTGTCTCAAATGACTTCAGTGGCTAGCCTAGTGATAGTGCTTCCTACAAGACAGTTCAGCATTTGCTTGTGGTCCTGATTCTGGGTAACAAGACCAGTTAACCCTTACTGTGAGCTCCACGCAATCCCCAGTCTGCTGGACAAGGACACAGTGCTGGCTCTAGTAGCCCCTTGGCTCGGAGACAGCGTGGTAAAATCTCTCCCTATCTCCCCTGCCAAGGGTTGCTTTTAATCAGAGGACAGTTGTCACTGAGAAAGCTCCCCACCCCTCAGCTAGCAGGCAGGAAAGCACTGGTGTCTGGGTGATGGCACCCTCACAGGCTGTTGGGGACAGGGCTGCAGGGGACTGAGGTTAGGAATGAAGCAGTAAGAAGTTCAGAGGAAGTCGCAGGATATAAGGAATTTTGGACAAAGTAGAGGTGGCGTGAGGGGCTTCAGAATGAAGTTAGAGGAGGGCTGCAGTTCTCCCTCTGTGTGACCTCAGGCAGGTCCCTTTCTCTTTTTGGGCCTGTTTTCCCATGTGTGTAATAGTAAATTAGGTTGTGTGATATCTGGGGTCCTAGTCAGCTCTGAGTCTACTTGATTCTGGGAGTTGGAAATGCAAAGAAAGGAGGTCACAGGACAGTTAGTGATGTTGGCAGAGGTGGACAGAGAAGGGCTGATGGTCATGAACAGGGATGGGGGATGAGCAGAGAGTGGGGCAGTGGAGTGTCCAGGTGCCTCATTTTCCTTATGGAAGGAGAAGACAGTAAAAGTGAAACTGGCATACTGGGCCCGTTAGAAGGTGGTGAGGCATTTACTGATGAGGCATCCGTAGTACAACTGAAAGAACTGTTGACTTGGTCCAGGGCTTCCTGGCTGTTAAGCCTCAGCTTTTCAACAGTAAGCATAGCTACAATAATTGCCTGGAAAGATGCTGTGAAGGGCAAATGATACAACCTGGAAAGGGCTTTGCCAACTCTAAAGGCTGTCCAAATAGGGCTTCAGTATCATCAGTCATTAGATCCTTTCCAAACAGGAAGAACGGCAATACTGCTCCCCGTCAGCTGAGTGAGTGGATGTCTTTTCTAAGTACATGCCTCCAGCCCCACCTCCATCTCATATGTGTGTGTGTGTGTGTGTGTGTGTGTAATCTGAGTTAACTGGTGATCCATGGAAGGCAGTGAAGGGTCAGGGGTTGCATCCATGTGCACAGGTGAGCGAGCCGACACAGGAAAACAGTGACCTCTTTGAAAGAGAGTGCATGGGAAAGAAGCTTCCATCTCCAGCTCACCCATCCTTGGATGGGGGTGGGACGTGACAGTATTTTCTGGTGTGGATTTTTTCAAACACCCAACTCTTAAAACCTTTTGAGTTACATCAGCTTGCATTTCTGCTTTGTGCAAGGAAATGACCCTGATAACTCCTCTAGGACTTTGAATGACCCAATGTCTGCAACAGTGAGGGCAGGTGGCATGGCCTCCAAGCTGCAATTCTCACAGGGTTGGGATAGGGCAATGGGGTGGGTGTGGGACATCAGCACCTCTTTTAGGGTCAGAGCACTAATTTGAAGACAGAAAAGTGTCCTGTCCCCCAGCTTTGATTTGACTCAAAGAATGCTATATTTATGTTGAATTTCATAAAGTATTGAAGGACGTGTGATATTTATGATTGTCAAAGGGGAACTGGCTGAGAAATTCTGGTATGTGCCATCCTGGATGGATCAGGTAACCATGGGTTGAATCCTGGTTCACTCACTTTTCAATTGTGCCCTTGAGCAAGTCTTTCATCTCTCTGAGCTTCTTTGTGTATAAAATGAGAGACAATCATACCCACCTCACAAAACTGCTCTGAAGATGAAAAGGGAAAATGAATAACAAAGTCTTTCTAAACCTGAGGACCTGAACAGGTGTGCCTGCAGTGGGGTAGAGGACTTTTGACTGAATACACACACAAGGAGCTTGGTCAGGGTGGAGGCAGACTGAAGAACGGTAAAGTGGTTGGACTTTGGAATCAAAGCCTTGAGACGCTGCCCATCCCTCCAGGCTGTGTGACACAGGCAACTGCTTAACCACACTCATCTCGAAAGGGAAGAGTACCAACACCTCATATAACTGTTAGGATGAAATGAGTTGTCTGATATGTGTCTCATGGCCCACAGTTAAGTGCCAGAAGAATTACTACTGTTAAGGTCCTGGACAGTTCACTTCAGTCTTCCATGCTTCTATTTCTCCTAACTTCACCTTAGTTCTGGAAGCTGTGAATACCTCCTATGGGCAAAGCTCCATTCTAGGTCCAAGATGCACCAGAGGCTGGAAGCTCAGGCAGGGCTTTGCATCTTTTCCAGATCTGTGGTCTTACTGTCACCTGCTGGGACTTCAGACAATGAAGGGAAGTTAAACTTAAGGCCCATGAACCCAGGTAGCCCATTTTGGAGGGATCTGCATAAAAATGGTCAAATAGGCAAAAGTTTTAGTGCTTGGAATGGGTAAGCATCAGTTATGGCTCAGCACATGACTGAGTCTGTCTGTCCTAAACCCAGTGGTCAGAGCCATCAGGCCTTTCTGGAAAGGCTGCAGTTCCCTGAGAAATACATGCACCAAGCCACAAAAGATGGGATGAGCTACTTTACTGGATGGCAAGCTTTCACGACGCCAAAGGAAAGAGAACTCAACTGAACTTTTCATTCCATAAAAGACTCAATAAACCTGACACTCTCATTTTAGTGAACTCCTTACTGGTACAGTCATTTCATTTCATTAAAATGCTCCTGCGAGAATCCAATCTTTCTAAACGTAATGAAATGTTAATGAATACTAAGTCTTACAACATTAAATTTGGTAGTGATTTAAACATTAATAAAATAAAATAAAATACTCCTGTGGTATAGACTGACGTGCTAAATCACAACCTGAAACTTCATGCTCTAAAGAACCCCAAAGAACAATATAGTAGTGCAGCACGAAACCACACGGAACTTCGACAGTTAATTTTTGATAACCCTAAATTGCAAAATAGCTAGCATTTATATAGCCATACTATATGCCAACTACTAGTTTAAGTACTTTACATATATTATGGTAATCCATCACAACCACCCTATGAGGAAAGTACAAGAGTAGTTACTCCACTTTACAGATGAAGAAGCTGAGGCCCAGAGATTAAGCAATTTGCCCAAAGTCACACAGGCTGTTAGGCTCAGAAGTCTGTACTCTTAGAGTTGATTAATGTGGAACCTTTGGCTAGTGATCTTTGCTATTTCTGAAAATGAATTTAGCTTTAAGGATATGTGGGAAAGTGCTTTATGTTTATTTGTACTTAGACCAATAGGTAAATAATGAACTCTAAGACTGGTCAGTGCCACCAGTAGGTCAGAGAAAGTGGAAGGGGAAGGTCACTTCCAGTTCGGGAGCTAGGTAGAGGGTCAAGGAAAGCTACACAGCAGTGGCATGAGGCAGGCCTTGAAGGATAAAAAGCACTTGTGTCGGGCTTCCCTGGTGGCGCAGTGGTTGGGAGTCCGCCTGCTGATGCAGGGGATACGGGTTCGTGCCCCGGTTCGGGAGGATCCCGTGTGCCGCGGAGCGGCTGGGCCCGTGGGCCATGGCCGCTGAGCCTGCGCGTCCGGAGCCTGTGCTCCGCGGCGGGAGAGGCCACGGCAGTGAGGGGCCCGCGTCCCGCAAAAAAAAAAAAGCACTTGTGCCTTACACTTAGCAGGCGCTTACTTAATAAAACACAAATATTAATGAAGCCTATGACTCATATAACACTAGGAAACAAACCCTAACCAAGATGCACACTGCACACGTGACAATAGCCATTCATTCCAATATCCAGTTAACTCTAGTTTCTGATTCAGGCTTGGCTGTCTACAGTCCTAACACCACCACAATAGATCACAGAGGCCAAAATCTAGTATTTTGTCTCTTCCTATGATAAACATCATTTATTGTCATGTCTGTGTGCAAAAACACAACAAATCATCTTTATTAAAAAAAAATACAAAGCATTCTTGCTATGGATCCAGGCAAAGGTATGACTAACAAAAATTTCGTAACAGGTCACTGAACACTGAGGTGGACTGATTCTGGAAACTACAGTGTCTTCTCATTACACTATGAAGCCAAATCAATCAACTTTCATGATGATACACTTAAAGTGTTAAAACCAAATAAGGGACAAAATTAACTCAAAATTTATACGTACAGCAACAATCTAGAGAACATATTAAAATATTCTGCTGAATGTGAAATTGTACCATATTTATATCGTAATCAACACTGGTAAGACTCAGAATTATTACAGCCTAAAAGTACTATTTTTTTCTAAAAAAGCAGACTAGGAGATATGGGGGTACAGGAAGGTGATTCAGATTCAAGATTCAAGTACGTTAAAAAAAAAAATCTCTTCTGCCCTAGATACTAGGCTTTTTTTCTTTGGTTTCAAAACTGGGTCAACAATCTACAAATGTGATGTTAATGAATACAGCATAAAGACCTGAAAAAAATCTGATTATACCAGCAGTTTGGTTACATACTGGTAAAGCTGTTCTGTAAATGCTTCAGGGGAAAACTTCTCTTTCACCCTGGCTCTTCCGGCCAGTCCCATTGTGGCCTTTAAGGAAGGTTCATGGATGAACCTTTCTATTGCTTCTGAGAAGTCAACTGGGTCAGGCTCACACAGAAACCCTGTGACGCTGTGGACAATGGACTCCAAGGGCCCGCCTGAATTAACAGCAATGACTGGGCACTGCATGTACATGGCCTCCAAGGGAACGATGCCAAAGTGCTCATTGCTTGGTGTGTAAAGCACACACATGCAGCCGTGGAGGAGTGAGATTTTCTGTTTGTCCGAGCAAGACCGAAGGAAAGTCACGTACTGGCCTAGGTCAGACTGCTGGACCATTTTCTTCAATTCCTGGTAGTGTTGTACATTCTCCAGGACTCTCTCATCATAACCACCTGCAATGATCAGATGAACTTTGTCCCAATCTTGGGATGACAATCTTCCACGCAGCTTTACTAGGGCTTCTAGTGCCAAAGTCAGATTTTTCTTCCTTTCATATCTGTTGATGGAGAGGAGTATGAATTTTTTCCCCTCGGGGACTATGTCATCAAGCTTTTCAAGAACAGCTGAATCAAAGCTGGTGATATTCAGAGATGGGTAGAGGACATCGGGGTCTATGTGAGACAGGGACTTGAACGTTTCCTTAAAAATGGCAGCTGTGAACTGGCTGTTGACCAAGATGCAGTCTGCCATGCCTGTGGTGTATTCCTCTACCCAGTCAATTGGGGCCCGGTATAGGCGTTTAATAAAAGAATCTCTCCTGGTGAGAAGCAGATCTGGGAAGTGACAGTAAAACAGGATTTTCTTACGCCGTCTGGCCAGCTTGAACACTGGGATACAGGCAGACACCTAGCCAAAGCAAAAATCAATAGCAGATGAAGTGACTGGTCAACTAAACTTCAACCAAATCAAAGAAACAGATACCTACCCTGCCTGCTAGTCTGTGGGCCCTTCATGGGCAATGTCTGGTTCTGTGTTGTGTGCCCCCAGACTCTCACCTGGTACAATGCCTGGTATACAGAAGGCTGGTAGACATTTTCTGGATATGTGATAAATACTTAAAGCTGCAAGTCCAGTGGTTTCCTCTAGAACAGCACTGTCCAATGGAAATAAAAATCTAGTAACTACACTAACAACTTCTTAAAGGTTAAATTAATTTTAATGTATTTTATCTAAAATACTATCACTTCAAAATGTAATTAATACTTAAAAAGTTGATGAGATCTTCTATTCTTTCTTTATCACATTAAATCTTTAAAATCAGATGTGTATTTTACACTTACAGCACATCTCAGTTCAGACTAGCCACATTTCAAGTGCTCAATAGCCACCTATGGCTAGTGGCTACCACACTGGACAGAGCCACTCCAGTATCTTCCTTGCCCTAAGGAAGTGAATGAATGAACTATAGTAGTTTAGAGTGTAGGCTCTGGAATCAAGATTGACAGGGTTTGAATTTCATATCTACTAGCTAGCTGTGTGACCATGACCAAGTAATATACCTCTCTCTCTGGGCCTCAGTTTCTTCTTCTGTAAATTGGTGACAATTCCAGTTTTTTTAAAAAAACCCATATAGTTTTTGTCATTATTAAATGCACTGGTGCATGTAAAACGTGTAAGAATTTAGCACACACTATGTGCTCACTATTTACTGAAATGTTAACCATAATCATTACTAGAGACTTTCCTGTTGGGTAATCTTTACAAGTCAATCTCCGGCTCACTTAACACCTGAAAAAGGTGAGCTTTAGGGATATTGAGGGATTTATGCAAAGCTACTTAGAAAATAGCTGATATGGAACTTGAATCTAGGTCTCCCACTTCCAAGCTCGGTTTTTTCTCTATCCACTACAATCTCAGCTGTCTCATGCTTACTGACTAATTTTACACATGCAGGATATTTGGTAAATGACCACATTTCTCAAAAAGAAATAGCTTGTACACAAGCAAGGATGATCAAAAGTAACTCAGAAGTAATAATTAAAGAAATACACATACAAACGTGATGCCATTTCCACCTATTAGTTTGGCAAAGATTAAAGTGCTGATAACATCCAATGTGCACAAAAGCATGGAGTAACAGGCTCTATCACTGTGGGAGAGTAGAATGACAGAACAGTAGAATGACAGAAGGCAAATTTGGCAAAAGCTACTGACAGTTAAGATGTACAACTCTTTGACCTACCAATTTTGACCTACCAATTTTATTTCTATGAATTTCAAAGGCTATGCTTGCAAAAGTACAAAAAAAAAGGCATAAAGATGTTCATTACAACACTGATCTATTCACAAAAAACTGGTCACACTGATACTGTCCTTTAGCAGAAGAATGTATAAATGATGGTACAGTCAAACAAAAGCAAATTTTCCAGCCACTATGAAGAATGAAGTGAATCTCTAATATTGATATGTAAGGATGTCCCAAGTAAAAATTTTTAGTGAAAAAGAGCAAGCTGGCCAATAGTAGGTGTGTCATAATCCTAATTATTACAAATAAGATGTGTCTATGAACAGACATCATATGCTGGTATAGCCACAGACAATTTCTGAAAGCATACGGAAGAAACTGTTAACAGTGGCTATCTTTAGGGAGTGGAACTGGAATGGGGCTTTTACATTCTAGTCTTTCTTATTATTTGAATTTTTAGTCCTGAGTAGGTGTTACTTTTTAAAATAAATATTTTTGGGGATAAAAAAACAAAACACAGGAAGAGTCTAGAATAGCTAGAGCCCAGATCCAGGTGGACATTATCTACCAAGGTAAAGAGCCTGGACTTTTCACCAAAGACTAATGGGGAGCTATGTTAAAGTTTTAACAGGCACATGACATGTTTAGCTTACGGTTTTATTAAACACATGACACTGCTGAGGAGCGGAGTGGCCTGACAGCAAATGCTACAGTGGGATGCATGTGGCTTGGAACTAGTGTCAAGAGAAATAATGCAAAACAGGGAAGACATACAAAACATGACTGAAGGCTGACTTCTAATGCTTGCGTTTCTTAGAGAGAGCACCAAGGCCCATATGCTTCAGAATCTCCCGATGATCCAGTGAAGGTGCAGATTTCGGGGCCCCACCTCAGGGGCCCAGGATGAAAACACCTGAGGGTGGGGCCAAGCAATCTGCCACTTTAACGGGTCCAAACTAAAGTTTGAGAACCACAGTCTCACTCCCACTTTGATCTCTCCAGATCAGTTCCGATCTTTCCGAACCACAGACAGGTAGAGGTCAGCAGTGGTCATGCGGCGCGCCCTCCGTAATGAGAAAAAGAGGGGCGGCGAGGGCCGGCCGTGGCCACCTCACCTGGTCGCACACTACCACGTCGAACTCCTCGTCGCCAAGGAACAGCACGTATAGAGCCAGGAAGATCATGCGCACGTAGGCGCAGATCGCGGCGCCGCGGCCGCCCCAGCCCAGGCTGCGAGGCAGCCAGTCCCCGGCGCAGCGCACCGGCAGCTCGCGGCTCTCCGCGAAGCAGTGGCCGGGGTCGTAGTGCGCAGTCCACATCTTCACGCTACATCCGCGCGCCCGCAGCGCCAGCGCTGCGTCCACAACCAGCCGCTCGGCACCGCCCACACCCAGGTCCGGGTGAAGAAACAACACGGACGGTTTAGGACCCAGGTCCTCATCTTGGCCCTGCTCCTCCGCCATAGCCCGGGAGCCGCACCTTTACCTCTCACGCTTAAAGGCTTCCACGCATGCTCCTTCCTCCAGCTTCCTAGCTGGCCCAAGACGGGGACCGACCACGTCCCGCGGCGCGTGCGTCGGTTAGGTCACGTCAGCGCAAATCTGTAGGTGCCTAGTAACTGCCGGAAAAAATTTCTCGTCTCATCATGGCTAGATCCTCCCATTGGTTGAGACTGGACTCTAGGAAGGACGCTGTGATCCAAAGGAAAAAATACATGAGGTCTGTAATTCCCATACAGCAGCTCACAGGGTCTCCTCTTGCAAAATTCCTACAGGCATATCGTAGGACAGCCCAGGCGTCCCTGGAGTCAGCGAGGACCCTGCCAGCAGGTCTGGGGGCGGGACCTGAGTCAGTCCCTCCGGCCGCCTGGCTCCACCGCTTCTCCGCTGTCCACTTCAGCTTCCTGCCACCCTCCTGTCTCCAGCATGGTTTGTGGCCCCAGCCGTCCCTCCTTGTCCCGGCTTCTCCCAAGCGCCGAGATTCCTTACGCTTTGTCCTGCTTCCGCGGCTTCCTTGTTTTCCCCAGCCCCCCGTGCATGTCCCGGTCTTGGCCTTCAGAGCCTGGGGTCTGGGGACCGGCCGGCGGCGCTCACCAGTCTCTCCTTGTCTCCCTCTACAGCCTGGTCCGACCCCCAGTGGCACTAACGTGGGCTCCTCCGGCCGCTCTCCCAGCAAAGCAGTGGCCGCCCGGGCGGCGGGATCCACAGTCCGGCAGAGGTAAGGATCTTGTGACCCTCTCGGCTGTGGGCTCCGAGGGACAGGGCCCAAGAATTCGTTGGTCCTGAGAAGGAGATCCCGGGATGTTAAGATTCATAAGGGCAGAACAAGCTAGCTGCCTGTGATGTGGTCGTAGGGGTAGTTAAAAGACTTCTTGGTCTTTTGCGTCTCGAGAGGGAGGCAATATTTTCTTCGCATTGCTCAGCTTTGAGTACCACTCTTGAAAAAGGAAAGTTAAACTGGAGTAAGGTCATAGACAGCATTGAGAAAACCGATGTCATTAAAATGGTGTCTTTAGACCTGAGCTCTCCACTCCCACTTCTATCTGGAAGTCCCATGCACACTCGGTCTAACATGACTCGTCTAATGCGCAGCTCAGTCTTTCCTTTCACCTCAGCTCCCGCCCCCAATTATATCTCCCTACGTCCATAAAGCACTGCTGTAAACTCGTTCACCCAAAGCCAGAACTTCAGCGTCATCTTGGATTCTTTTAATGCTGTCTTTATCCAGTACGTTTATATTGTACATGAAGAACTTCTCATCCGTTCTTTCCTTCTCCCATTTCTACTGCCTCAGTTTAGCCCTCAGTTTCTCACATCTAGAGAATTTCCTACCTAACTCGCCTCCTCTCCAGATCATTTCCACTCTAATGCATCTTCTGCTCTGATTCTGGCACACTGCTGGTTAGTTTCTTGTTGCTGAACTTAAACACGGTTGGGAGGGGGAGAGGGTTACCAAAGCTCTTGGTGGTGGGTTCCCCCCACCGCCCAGCCTAATCGCTTCTCTTCTCTCTCTCCTGTGATCCAGCAACAGTGAGCTTATTACTGTTTTCTGAACTCACTAGACACCCCCCCACCCCCACCCCTCCGGCCATTTGTGTATATTCTCCAAGACTAGGCGCAGGGGTTATTTCCTCTTGAGGCCTTCCCTGACTCCAAAGGCAACAGCAGCTACTAGTCTTCTCTTTTACTCCCAAGCATTTTGTTCATACCCTTCTAACAGCATTTATGTTTCCATGTTTATCTCCTTCATTAGACTTTGACAAAAACTGCCCATCAGCTCTATCCTACCGTAAGGCTGACACAATAAATGATGAGTGAGGGAAGGAATCAAGCCACCCTGTAATCTTGGGAGTTTTTTGAAGCAACCAGTGGGGGTTTTATCTAGAGAGGAAAAGACCTTGAAGAGATACACGAAAACTATTCTCAAGGATGTGAAGAGGGATGAGACTTCTCTTGTTGGCTAGAGTAGGTAAATCTAAAACTGATGATTTGAACTTACATGAGACAGATTTCGTCTTAGAGCAAAAACAATTCCAGTAGAACTGTGAGAAATGCTAAGATGGCCCCGAATGATTGTGAGTTCCCTGTCATCAAGATGTTCAGGGTAAGGCTGGGATGGACCAGCTGGAAAGTGTGTCAGGCTGTGGTGTAGGTTATTTGGGCTTGGGGTGCTGTCTTGTTCCCACCCTGGATTTCAGAGATTCTTTGTGCTGGAATGGAAAACCTGTCCTGTCGGTACAGTTCCTTGGGGAGTGGGTCTAGTTAAGGAGAATTGGTAACACTGTGGCAGAGAAGTTTGATCATCTGAAAACTCTTAAAAAAAAAGAAAAATCATGTGTTTATCAAATAAGTGAAACAAGTATTTACTTAATAAATAAAATTGAAATAACTGCTGCACAAGTGAAATGGAGAAACAAACATTTGAGGACAGATGCAGCTTATCAAGTTGGGGGTGTTGATGTCGTCTTTTAGAATTCACTACCGCTGGGGCCAGTGTAACTCAACAGACCACGGTTGTATGTACTGAGAGACCCTACAGAGTTCCCATCTAGAATCTTGGCACTCTTCTAAGTGTTACTTCATGAGTGTAATGTAATAGGTATTGACTGTTCAAGAATATATTCCCTCTTTGTGAGTCTGTAAGAAAAAGGTGAAGCTAACAGTTAATAATAGTGCTGTGGATTATGTAGTCCACAGATTTGCATTCTGTCTCCATGTTCAATGAGGTAATAGAAGTAGAACCTTGAGAAGTAACTGTGGGATTTAAGGTCAGGCCAGGGTTGGAGTCCTTGCTCTGTTACCACAGTATAAACGGAAGTTGCTAGGATGAAAAGGAGCAATAACACATTGTAAACTGTAAAGCCTTAAAATGCTTCAGTGTTCAGGATTTTTTTTTCGAATTTCTTTTTATACAGCAGGTTCTTAGCATCTGTTTTATACGTATTAGTGTATACATGTCAATCCCAATCTCCCAATTCATCACAGCACCCCCCCGCCACGCTTTCCCCCCTTGGTGTCCGTACATTTGTTCTCTATATCTGTGTCTCTATTTCTGCCTTGCAGACTGGCTCATCTGCACCATTTTTCTAGATTCCACATATAAGCACTAATATACGATATTTGTTTTTCTCTTTCTGACTTCACTCTGTATGACAGTCTCTAGTGTTCAGGATTAGTGGGAATCAGGCATAGTAAGGTGATGGACTAGCTGGGGTATTAAGGAAGTCATCAAATAGTTATTGAGGGTACATGCCAGGCACTGTTTCAGTCATGAGACTGTATCTGTGGACAAGCTAGTCAGGGTTTGACCTCATGAACCTTATATTCCAATGTAAGAGACCATAAACAAGGCAAATAAATAGACAATTTCAGGCACTAAGGCCAAGAAGAAAAATAAAGTTGTGTGGAGACTAGAGGGTGGGTGAGGATAGGGTGTTCAGAGTAGGTGACAGGTGAGCAGAGACCTAAAAGAGACAAGGGAGCAAATTATGCAATGGTCCGGGGAGGAATAGGCTTCCTAGACAGGAATAGTTAAGTGTAAAGACTCTGAGGTGGGAATGAGCTTGGCTTCTTTGAGGAACAGCCAGAAGACCACCATGTTAGAACAAAGTATGTTAAAGGATGGTTATGAAAACCATTGCGTTAGGGTATAGGAGGAGGGAGCAGTTACACAGTGGCCAGAAAGAAAGGGTAAAATAGACCCCAAAAAGAAATTTAGGAGATTAAAATGGGCTCTGTTAACTTCTACCTAGCTTCCCAGTAGGGGGGATGGGAGGTATTTTGAGTACATTTTTGGTATTTCTAGGTGGCCCGAATCCTCTGCTATGTCCGTGTGCCAGCAGATGTAAGAAATCTTCAAAGAGCACAGACTGATTCCTTGGGGGCTCCTGGAGATTTTGAAGACAGGAAGTGGAGTTGGGTGGGTGTGGGAATAGTAGAAAGTACCTGGGTCCTAGTCTTGGCTCAGCCGATGACTTATTATGTCCACACTGGGTTTATCATCTAGCTCAAGTTCCTTTTTATGAACGAGGAAAATTTCACGTACCTACTCCACCAATTAGATGATGTGTATCTGTGTGTGTGTGTGAAAGCTCTTGTAAGTGTACGAATTACTCTGTAAATCCCTGTACAGTTTACAATCAGTTTTCCCATAGAAACAGTCATACAGATGGAGTTAGAAGTTCCCAGGTGACCATGTAGCCCATCATTAATGTGTCTGAAATGTAATCTTTTTAGTACAGTACATCAAAATCGTTTGACACTAATTTTAGATTTCTAGCATGAACACAGCTTTTTTTGCTGGAGCCCACACTGGAACCGGGACTCCACTCTCCCACTCCATGCAGCAGGGCAAGCTCCCTGAGCTCTAGACCAGTGCTGCTTGCATTCGGAGTGTGGAATCAAGTCTGTGGTAGGGTGAGGTGGGGATTAGGAACCAGAGTTGGGAGGCAAGAAGAGACGGTGGGGACAGGGTATTCACTTTTGGTTTCTCCCTGTATGCGTGTCTTTTTTCAAAAATCCAGAACCAGCAGTCCACGGATAACTGGAATGGGATTTTGAGGTAGGGTGTGTTGGGATTCGGTCAATGGCGAGGGGTGGTGACGGGACAGGGCTCTCTCTCTCTTCCTTTCCCCTTCCCTAGAATTTCTGAGTTGGTGATAAATGGGCTGAAGAAGGTTTCTTCTGACCTGTCTCATACTTACTACTTATTTTTACATGGTACCAGTTTTGCACTGAGGGGAAATGAGAAGTGGGATTGGAGGAGTGCTGTGTGGGAGAATAGCTGTTGGGGAGGGTTTCCTAGTGACCGAGGAGAGGAGGGAAAGGATTCCCTGGCTTCCTTCCTGGTCAGTGGCATTAGTGCTGTTCGCTGCTTCTGTGTGCCAGGGCTGCCTGCACCACACAGCTCACTTCACAAGCCTTGATCCCCTTGTGAGGGACAAGTTCTTGTTGGGTGTTTCCTGCATTTTTTCACATCCAACCTCTGTCCAGGATCTATAGTCAGTATATCAAAATAATGAAAACAGATTGCAAAATAATTTTTCATAAAATATATACTCTGTTTTGAGACTTGGATTACAATTACAACTTATGTTTTTTGTCTTTTTTTTGTAGAAAATACAGTAATTTAAAAACATTTTAAAGTAGTCATTTAAAAATCAGGTAATAGGGATTCAGGGTATTTTTAAGCAGGAGTTTTTTACTTGACTTCACAAAAATACAGGTGAAGTGAAACTGAACTGCACTGTCCAAATGAAGTGCCCATATGTGTGAGCAAGTGGATGGGCTCAAGTCAGAACTGGGTCCACAGCCGAGCGTGGCTGCCTGCTGGCTATGTGGTCTTCGGCACTTTGCCTAACCTTTTATGAGCCTCATTTTCCTCATTTATAAAATGGAGATGGTAACTACTTTTCTGGGTTTCTGTATGCATCAGTGTATGGTGGGTACTCAGTTCTTAGTGGTTATGATCAAGTGGAGTAAAAGCAAGCAAAAGCAAGGAGGTATTAGCAAAGAAAAAGTTAATTTTTTGGTTCTTTACCAGTGTAATCGTAGCATATGTTATAATGCTCTGATAAGGGTTTCCAGGAAAAGGCCATTTGTCACATTTTTTCTCTTCACAGGAAAAATGCCAGCTGCGGAACGAGGAGCGCAGGCCGCACGACCTCAGCAGGCACTGGGGGCATGTGGCGATTCTACACAGAAGATTCACCGGGGCTCAAAGTGTAAGTCCTGGGAGCAGACCTTGTGTTTCTGTCCAGAATCACAGAGCCCTTTGGCAGCACTCTGTCTCTGCCACCAGTGGTGTTTGCTTTGATGAGATTTGTAATACACGGCACTTCCTTTGTGCCGGGTGGGCGGGGTCTGGTTTGTCCATATAGCAGCCAATTAGTTTAGGGCCTGGAATGACATCTGTTCATGGTTTGAGTGAAAGCAAGGGAACATCTTCATGTAGTTCTGTCAGAATAAATGATGGGAATAGAGAGAACTGGAGGGAAAACGGTTTAATTAGGTGAAATTGCTCTTCATTTGGTGTTCTTGTCCCACACTGAGAAATAGAGGAGTAACCATTTGAATAGGAGCTAGGTGGTTTTTCAAAGCTCCCCTGGAGGCATAGGCTGATATTATTGCAGTCTAATGGGAGTTTCTGCATTAGGCTGTGTTACCAAAAGTTCTTTTGCCTCCTTGCTGTTCGTGGGTGGTGACTGGACCCCTATCACTTCCCAAGTTCTAGGCCTGGGAATGCTCATTAGGTGATGGGATATGGGCATCTGGGGGAGGCCCTGTCCCCACGCCTCACCTCGCTTTCTGGCACTGTGAAACCTAATCCCACAGGTTTCTGACCAGGTAGGCTCCAGGACACCACTGCTTACAGCTGTTTCCTGACTGAATCCAGTGGATGAGGAATTGGAATAATGACAGCAGCTCTCATTCGTATAGCACCTCAGGTTCAGAAGCTCAGATTCAGAGAGGCAAAGCTACTTGTCAAAGACAAAGAGCCAGCAAGAGCTGGAACCAGATATTCTGGGACTGTTAAGTTCCATGCTCTTTCCATTCTGCCTGTTTGGTAACAGAGACACAATCAGATTTATTTGGATTAGTTTAATTAACTTGACCAGTAGCTTGACTTAGATCACAAATTTAATTTCCAAAGACTTGCCTAGAATTCTTGAGGTTTTGTTTTATTTATTGATTTTTTTTTCCCCCTTGTTATGACGAAGGCTTAAAAGGTGAGAATGTATTTCAGGAAATAATTCTTGGGGTTGGGGATGTGTGAGTTGGCAGCGTTTTGGTCCTTGTTGGAGGTAATTTTTCTGAATATTTCAGAGACAAATTTTGAAGCCTCTTGCTCTTCAGGGTATCCAGGGGACAACATTTTAAACCCTTAGCGAGGTGGTGAAACAACTGTTCTCTTGTGGGTGAATCTGGCTTGTTCTTGCTTTGGGCTGTTGTGCAGCCAGGCTTGCTTGCTGCTGTTGTGAGTCCTAGGAATCGATAGAAGCTATTCCTTTGCAGTGTCATAAACCACAGTCTCATCATACCAGAGAGAGAGGTTTTTGGTGAAAGGACATAGTTGGGGAATTGTATCCTCAAATCCACATCTTGGAGCAGTCAGGTACCATCTTGGAGCTTGCTGTTGGCTCTTCCTGGGAGTTAGAATTTTTTTTCAGGTTGATACTAGTAGCATTTCCTGAGAGCTTACTAGAAGCCTACACCGTGTGTGTGTTAATATATTTAATACCTCAGCAACCCTATGAGAGAGGTGCTGTGATTATCCCCACTTTACAGACGAGGAGAATGATGTTTGGAGAAGGTGAGTCACAGGGCCACAGTCATAGCTTGTGAGGGACAGAGTTGGTTTCCAGACTCCAGCGCTTGGACTCTCAGCACTGCACTCTCAGCTTTATGCTTTATGGCTGATGTTACCTAACGGCGCTTTAAAGTAAGGCAGTATGATCCAGTGCATCGTGACGACGATCTCTTCCTAGGTACTTTTAAGTTTGTTTACTCCCATAATTGTACAAATTTTGGAAGAACAAAATAGTGTAGCAAGGACTTGGATCTCCGTGCATTGATTATTGTCCACTAGTGGACTCTTGTTACCGCCTGCTCCACTGGGTTACTCTACTGCCCAAATTATAAAGATTCCTGGGGTCTTTTCCTGTGTCCACCCCCAGGTGTACCTGGGAGGTGAAGTGACATCTTGAATTCTCCAAAACTGTTGTTGGCAAGAGTCGTCAAAAAGACAAGGCCTTTGACTGACATCAGCATTGACAGGTTGTGTAAAATCAAGGAGTTCTAACTTTTAGAAACCCATGTAAAAGCATTTGATTTAGGGAAGGGCTGATGAGTAAAATCTACTTCCTTTCTACAGTAAACTAAATATAAATCAAACTTAATTAATGTTGCCTAGAATGTTTGCTCCCCTAAATATGGGAACCTTAAAGCAGTAAAATGAGCACTGTGTGTGGAATCAGAAAACCTGAGTTCAGATCCCTCCTTTCCATTCTGGCTCTGTGTTCTTAGGCTCTGTGTTCTCATTTCATAAGATTAATATTTGTTTCGCCTGTGTCTTCAGCTTGTTAATCATATGGGATCATATATTTGAAAATGCTTCATAACTTATAATGGGATATTCATCTTTGTTATGCCTAGTTTATTGTAGTTAGATGATGAAGGTGGTCTTTATTAATTTGAAATAATAGTTTGGTAATTGGATCATTTGCACTTAAAGAGTTTGGGAAATTTTTAAAATTACTTTTTATTATGGAGAATATCAAATGCACGAAATTAAAGAGACTAGTGTCTCTAAGACATTAGATCCTTTTTTTGTATATATTTTAGTATGTTTCATTAAAAGATAAGGATTCCTCCTTTCTAAATAACCGTAATGCTGTCACCCTCAAAATATCCACAGTAATAATTTTTGGAATATTTTTAAATGTTGTAAATAATATTCTTCTATGGATCTTAGGTGCTTTCCCCTCCCTTTTCCCCTAGGCAGTCTTTAATATTACAAATATATTAATGTATTATTACTGAAACTAAGCCTGCCTTTTCTTATTTCCAGTGGCCCTGTTCCAGTATTGGTTATGAGTCTTCTGTTCATCGCTTCTGTATTTATGTTGCACATTTGGGGCAAGTACACTCGTTCATAGATTCGGCTACATCCATCTGTCTGTCATCTGAAGAAGACAGGAAAAAAACCCCAACATATCTTGGACCAAAAGCATAGTGATTTTCTGTTCATGAGAAAGAAATTTTCTGTAAGCTTACTGTTTTACAGGGAACTTAATGAAAATTGATTTTAAGGAATCATTTTTTTTCCTGTGGCTAATAAACTTTTAAATTCATATACCAAGTCTCATTGCTTATGCCTGGCTGCTAGGGCCCTTAGTCTCTCTACCTTTAGATTTACAAGTAAATATGCAAAAGCATTTTGTGGAGATTGTTTTTTTGGTTGGATTGGCAGTTTCTTATATGACCATGTATGTAGTCATTCAAATGCACGATACTGTCAGTGGCCCTGGCTTGTTTTCTTCTAGGTATCTCTGTCTTGGTCATTGTTATTTTGGGTGTTCTGTGGTTTTCAAGGAGTGTGCCTGTGTTCAAAGGCAGCTGGTACCCAGCGGAATCGTCATAGAAATCATCCAGAAATCTTGGATGAAATGTTTGCTCGTTCTATTCTTTGTCTCTAAAACCATACATAATATTTTTGCCTCTTTCTGTCAGTTCTTAATTCTGTGGGTGTAGATGAGGGGTTTCAATCTATTTGTCACTTGTTGCTAAACCCCTTTTGAAAGAATTCATTTGATAAATTGGATTTCTTATATAAAATTTTGTTTTCACTTTGGAAATTAAAGAAAGACCTTAATAATCAGTGTGAGATACCATTTCTAAACTGAGTTGATATAATTCCAACCAAAAATAAAAATTTTTGAAGTTTCACTTAGCTTATGCTGCCTTCTGGGTATGAGCATTCACTTTCTGGTAGACCATAGGAAATACCAAGAATAGCTCAAAGGTGCGCACTCCAGGAGTGTAGGACTCTAAGCCACAATTTCTAAAGATTGAGATCCATTTAAAACGCCCTAGTTGTCCAGCAGAATCACAAAATGATGAAGAGGTGTATTAGTTTAAAAAATCGATAATTTGGAAAACATCTCTCTCTCAGCCTATTAAAAAAATTTCTAGAACAGTTTCATAAGTGTTTTTCTTAAATCCTGGCTGAAAAGTAATTTTAGGTCCAAAGTGCCAAATTTAAGTGGTGAAAGTATGTATCTTTAAAAATGATTTCCTAGGGCAATATATGGGGGAGTGTGCTCTTGTAAATCCTAACAGATGGCAAATTATTGGGGGAAAAAATGATGAAAAACTGGTTCCCTTTGATCTTGGGAATTGATTATTGCATGAAATAAGTATCTTCATTTTGAAAGTCAGAGGAAAAAGTCTCAATTTCATTTGGAAGAAATTAAAGATGATAGTATCTATAATAGAATTTTTGTTTTCTGATATTCATGTTGACAATACTAATAACAGTTAAAAGTTACACATTTAATTTGGAAAAGAAATCTGCTCCTCTGCGGGAGGGGTCTGTTTTTCTTTGGGGGAGTAGCTGAAGCCACTTGGGGGAGCCATTTGGTTGTAAGGGGAGTACTCTTCACTGCAGAGTGCTGCTGTTAGCCTCCTCTGCTTAGCAGTGGTCTCTAGTGGACTGATTGCTGAAAGTCACTGACTTTTCTGAGCTAGTGGTTTATAAGAAAATGCTAGTTTTTAGTGGCAGAGCAAGATGCTTCATTCAGCAGAAGGAAAATTGGGGGTTGGGCATAAAAATGTACAACATTTATTATGTAGCTGTTTTTGGCTCTGATGAGACAATGCTAATACCATAGCTGAGAGTCTTAGTGTTCAAGCTGTTCCTTTTTCTCTCTTTTTCTTTTTTCCAATTTTTAAAAATTGTGGTAAAATACACATAACATAAAAAGTACCATGTTGGCAGTTTTTTAAACTGTGCAAGTCAGTGGTATTGAATACATTCAGATTTTTGTGCAGCCATCACCACTATCCATCTCCAGAACTCTTTTTCATCTTGCAAAACTGAAATTCTAAGCCCAGTAAATAGTAACTCTACTCCCCCTCCCCCTTCCCCTCAGCCCCTGGCAACCACCATTCTACTTTCTGTCTCTGAATTTGACTTTCTAAGTACCTCATATGAGTGGAATCATATATTTTTTCTTTTTGTGACTGACTCATTCCACTTAGCATAATGTCCTCAAGATTCATCTACATTTTAGCATATGTCAGAATTTCCTTTCTTTTTAAGGCTGAATAATATTCCACTTATGTATGTATCACCTTTAATGTTCCTTTCTTTTTAAATAGGGATTCCTAGACTGTTGTTTCCTAGGGGATCATGAGCCATTTATAGTAATTTCAAAAACTTAACAAATTAGACCTTGACCTGCATTGAGGCTACCCTGGCCCAAAGAATCCTCAAGCTCCCTTGACTGTGGGCTAAAATCTAGCCATTACTGAGTGGACACAGCACATGCTGAATAGAAGCTCTAAGTGATTAAAACTGGGAAAGTGAATTACATTATAACTGCAATTTGAGCTGAGCCTTATAAGTCACCAGGGAACAACCATACTAGGGAAAGCGCCCAAGAGTCCCTGAGGCTAGTGAGGGATGGAAAGACTAAGATCCCTGGGCCCAACAGTGCCTTGAACACATTCCAGTAAAAGAGTAGACGAGAAAAGATCTATTCCTGGGAGAGGCAAAACACGTTATATACCTTCTGTTTTCACACCTGTCCTAGTCTAGACTCCACTTTTTTTCCCAGGTGCTAATGTCCTCATAGGAAGAATTGAAAAAAAACCTTCTGAAATGCAAATGTTGGCATCAAGTTAAAATGGATGAAAATGTCTACAAAGCTGGCTTCATTCAACAGGAAATACTGTACAGTATGTGGTGTTCCTATGCACAGGAACTCCAGAGCTGCACTGCCCCTCCCCTCAAGCGCTGCAGGAGGAGAGTTCCGGCCAGGACCAAGTTTTCGCACGGGCTCCGGACGCGCAGGCTCAGCGGCCGTGGCTCACGGGCCCAGCCGCTCCGCGGCATGTGGGATCCTCCCGGACCGGGGCATGAACCCGTGTCCCCCGCATCGGCAGGCGGACTCTCAACCACTGCGCCACCAGGGAAGCCCCCAAGACCAAGTTTGTTTGACTCTCCTAGGAGGTCTAAACTTACGGCACTTACGACCCCATCTTCCAGGCTTGGAAGTGTTTCTGACCTGAGTTCAACTGCTGGGCCTGCCATTTACCAGTTGTAGGATCATGGGTGTCTCACCTCTGTTTTTTGGGTCTCATTTTCCTTAGCTGTAAATGACTATAGATATGATAATTCCCACCAAATAGGAAGACTGAATGAGAAGAAAGATCCAAGAGTTGCTTTGTTAATTAGCTAAGAGTTAACACGTGCTTATTCTCAGTAATTTTGGAGATGTAGGTTTCTTGTTAGATCAACAACCTAATGAGGAATTTACTATTTGCCCCATTTTACACAAGAGGAAACTGAAGTTTAAACCACTCAGCTTGTAAGTGCAAGGGCTGGGATTTAACTCCAGATCTCTGACTTACCCACTGGAGTCATATAGATAGGATTATTAAGTATTTGGGTTGAGGGCTAGGGAAGGGTGTCACAACAATAGAGCTTGCACACAGAGCTTTAAAAATAACACAACTGCAAGAAAAGCGCCATCATTTGGTGTACTCCAGACATTACATAGCTTCAGTTTGAGGTTTTGGTTCCGCAGAAGGAATTGGTTTCTATTTCAGTCCTGAGCTTTGTTCAGTCTATGGAACTCTTGTGTTTGTAGAGAAAGTGTAGTTGTTTATTCATTCAACAAACACTGATTACTGTGTGATATGCCTTTCTACTGGGGTTTCAGAAAAGACCTGGTGAGGTGACTCACTGCTTAAAAAGGCTAGGCATTTGGATGTTAGGATCCTAGTCCCACTTGGGGCTACTGGGGCTACAAGTCCTACATAACTGTGATTATGGAGAAACCAGGCAGGGACCCCCCTCCTCAAGGGTCCCTCAACTATTGGTGAAATCAGTAGTTGGGAACCACAGTTTAAGAACCAGTATGCTCATGGTGTGTGGGCAACGGTGCCAGGGATTGCAAAACTGGAACTACCTTCCAGGAAATCTATACTGTATGGCCACGTGTATAACAGAGGAAGACCGGGGAACCCTGGGATACTCTAGCTGGAAGGGCTGAGAGTTCACTATGTTTTCCCCATTGTACAACAGAGTTCTGGGGCCCCAGAGAGGAGGGGCTTGCCCAAGATTGTGCAGCAAGTCAGTAGTAGAACAGAGGCCAGAACCAGGCTTCCTGTTTCCAGGCCAGGGCTCCACCTCCGAACTGCACTGTGAGCCCTATTTGGGGACTCTGCATAAGCCAGCAGACCTCTCTGCAGGCTAGACTCTGGAATGAGGTAAACCAAGTGATGGGCTTTGCTCAGTGGGCAGTGTTAATGAAAGGGAGAGGAGTAAAAGCAGCAAGGTTAGCTAGTAAAAATAAAATGAATAATGTTAGTAAATTTAGGAGAAAGTCAACGAGTTCCTAAGACTTGACGGAGAGACAAAATAGGGAGAAGCAGCCAGCAGAACTGCACTGTTTTGCATTCTTGTGACCACAAATGTTAGGTGAGCCAAGAACACAGAGAGATTGACCAACCAGGGTTAAAGTAAAGGCTAAACTTTTAAATACTATTCCTGGCCGCTCTGGCAACTAGGTCTCCTTCCCATGCTAAAGATAAAATAAAACATGCAAATTAACTGAATAGAAATCAAAAGTGTAGTCATACACAGTCTAGATCACTCCATTTGGGTAAAGGGCTGGAAGTTTGTACCTCACAAAGCAAATGAAGACACGAGAAGAACTTGAATTACATATAAGAGGGTTAAATTAGCCCTGCGAAGTACCTGTTTTCCGCCCTATCGACGCTGGTCATAGGCGATGCAGGTGGTAAATCCTGTTCTTGCCTGTCCCTATGGTCTCAAGCTGTTCTAATAGACAGTAGTTGCTGGGAAGAAAACGGAAGCTCATTCTCCCAGGGCCCTACCTAAACTGGTTTGGGCTGTAGAATTTAAACAGGGGTTCTCAAAGTTTAGCATGCACTGGAATCCCCTCGGGATAATCTGCTTCTGCTCCATGGCAGATCTGGCTAGCCCCAGACTGGGCGTCCCAGCTCTCTAAAACACAAGTCACACGGTGGGGTTTATTCCAGGCGCATCTCAGGTACAAGTGTGTTAATTTTGTCCCCCTTCCTCTTTGAAGCTTTAACTATGGTGCT